GCTACTGCTACTGCTACTACTGCTTGTCCCAGGCCTGATGTCATTGGCCTCAATACCTTCATCTACTTCCAGACTGGAGTCGACTAGAGGTTTGCTGTCACATGCCAGAGCTGTGCTCCAGGTGAGCACCTTCATCGGGCGAGAAATTCTGAATCAGAACATGGAGGCCGATGCCTTCGATTACCGTTGAACATCAGTCTGATTCTGCATTCAGACAGGTCACGGACCAGGCTGGCCTGGCCGCACTTGCAGCTCATCCACCCGCCAACTTCCAAAAGCTGGAGGCCTGTACATGGCAAATGCGTCTGAGTTGCCACCGGAACAAGCTTCTCCACGGATGTTGCACGCAGTTTTGGGCTTCCTTGCCGCCACTGACAGACTGGGAGGGGAGATCAGCTTTGAAGGAATTGAATGGAGTGGCACAAGGTTGCCATTGCTTGCCTGGCCAGAGACGACGGGGATCGCCTGGATGGGCGTGCAGGTACGGGATCGCCTGCACGGTGTTAGCACAACCGAGACTGGCAGATACTTTGGGCGACGATTAAGTAACCGATCGCGGGGTCCCGACAGTGATGACTCGGAAGAAGGAACCGTTTAACAACAAACGTATTTTGATTCTATTGATGAAAACTTGTGCTTCTGGCAGAGGGGTCAACATTGCACGGGTCGACTTGCAGAGCCATTGCAACGTCGGCCGCAGTCCCGTGCTAGCAGCACATCTTGCACATCAGCATTCAATCGCAGCCAGGGGCGATCGTAGCCCGGTATCAGTGAATATCGCCGGTGTGACGGACGACAGCCCATCAAGAATCTGAACCTTTCGCAGATTTTGCTAGCTTCGACTTTGTAGATCCTTGAAAGCTTTTCATGCACACACCGAGACTGTTCCTAAAGGCTGCTCCTGACTGTTGCTGCGGCTGTTGCTGCTCCTGCTGCTGCTGCTGCTGCTGCTGCCATCTGTCTTGAGCCAGGATCCTGTGAGTGTCGGACATGGACAAACATGTAGATCTGAGCTAGTTTCCATTTTTCACTGCAAAGCTCCAGGAAAAAATGTGCCCGGTTCTACGGTGAGAACCAAAATCACATTTTCGTCAATAGAAGCAAAGTACTTTTTTAAATATTATTCTTCCAATCTTTCTGTGGCGGAGCCAAGCGATGAGATGACGAGAGAAAGACTTTTACAAACAACCCACTGCGTGCTAACACCGGTGCAGGCGATCCCATACCCGCACCCCCATCCAGGCGATGCCCTTGCAAGCGCAACCCTGCGCCAATCCAGGCAGACACTCGCTAGTCATTTTGAACGTTTGTACAGGACATGGACTTCTTGTCAAATGCTGCTCTTAAGATTTTTGGGGTGACTCGAACTGTTCTGCCCCCCTTGCCCACGGTTGTGGCCAGGCAAGATTGGGTGGATGGAACTGGAGAAGGTGGTTGTGCTGCGAGTCAATCAATCACTTGTGGACGGAGCGGTCACTCTGGATGCGGCCTAAAGTCAATTAAGCCGTGCTGTCCCGTTCCGTGTTGCTGCATTTTTGGGTGCACACGGTCGGCATTGGTGCTGGAGCATCGTACTCCCTCTGCATTCGGCGTCCGCTGTGTTGTTGGGGTTGGGTTGCACGTTCGCCCTGGGTATCCCTGTTTGCTGGAGCATCGTGCTCCCTTTGCATCTGGCCCGTGCCGTGTGACTGGCTTTTTGGTGGTGTGTGTTCGCTGGCTCCGCCCGAAGCAACTGCAAAAGGAGCACAGCGGCTACACTTTTTATCGCTCTTCTTCAATGAGCTTGCCATCTGTCCGACAACTCGTAGTTGCCCGAGTGGGCAGATGGTACAGCGACAGCTCCGCTCAAGAGACATGTTGGATTGGGCGAGGGAGTGGCGAGAGGACGCTCGATTTCTCAATGATTCAATTCGCCCCTTTTCATGGAGAATATGTTACAACGCACTCATTGGTGGAGGGGATGAAGACGAACGTCCAAGGTTCCAAGCTAGGGTCTATCGAGGGGAACATGTGGCCCCTCTGACTCTCTGAACGGACTCAAGCAGGGCACCTGCCAAGCTAGCCGCGAGACGACGGTAGGTCACTGGCGAAACCCAGCCATGTCCGTATTCGTCACAGGAGGAGCTTTCGCAAGAGCCGTGGGTCTGCGGTGGTTCTTCTGGAAGGAACTGTTGGGAGCCCAGCACAGTAGATTTGCAGATTCGGTTTTGGAGTGGTGGCGACCTCGCGAATAGATAGGCCCCCCGAAGAGCTCCTCTGCGCCGTTGGAGATAGGCCCGTGCAGCCTGGGCTGGTGATCGGTGTCTTCGCAGTTTGTCACAAAGTAATGATACTGAGATACTGTCTTGTAGCTGGCTCAGAGTGCAGCACGTCACGTGCAACTTTCAGATCCGGGTTTATGCAGGCTGTATTACAGCGGGTGAGTCTCGTGCTCCATGTAAAGTGGTGTCAACCGGGGTCATGATACATGGGACTTGATGGACGTGACGAGCTTGGGCTGGCTTCGGAGCCATGCCCTCGGATTCAGAGTCCCAGCTACTGCATGACCTGCGCAGCAAAAGCTGCCGACCCAGGCCGGTGCTGAAGGCGCTGCGCCAGAACATGCAACCGCGAGTCACGTCGCAGCAGCAAGTTCTCCTGCTTCCCAGGAAGGCCGCCTACCTCGCGCCGCTCGCGAAGTGGGCCGGGCCTTGCCGTTTCCACACAAAGGAGAGAGCTGTGCGAAGTCTCCAAGGTCCCAAGCAGCTGGCTTTGTCGCCCTCGCTCCATTTGGATCGGGTGCAGGCAGCATGTTGCCTCTCTGTTCGATGCACTGGCACGTTCTATGACATCGTCACGAGAGAAGGTGTTCCAGCAGTTGGGCTCCTTGCACGAGGCCCTTGCCGAGCACAGGCCAGTGCCCAAAACGCATCTGCAATCGCTGGGTTCAAACCATTTTGATTTTTAATTGTTGTTGCCATAAGGCCAAGTTGCAACGAGGCAAGGGGGCGGCCGTGAAAGCAAGGTGTGCGGATGTGGCTGACAAAGGATGCTTTGTGGCGTGAAAATCGCCGGCTGCGCGGAGAGGCAAGTGGCGGACGGCGGACTCTCTGGGACTCGGACAGCGGCGCATAGCGGCGCCACTGGCCAGGTGCAGGCCTGGAAAGATGAAGCAGCAGCTCGGCATCGAGAGACGGCGGAGCTCCGGCTGGAGGCCTTGGCCGCAGATGGCCGCAGTACGGGTAGGCGATCTGTCGCTGTCCTTCGAGGTAGCACAACTCCATGCCGAGTTGCAGGCCCGAAGCTTGAATGCTTAATCACGGCTTGCGGCACTTCCATGCAAACCAGACTTTATGGCAAGTCATGTTGCAAAGCAGTGATGCGTCGATGGATGAGGCTGAGCACTCAAGGTCCCAGGAGCTGTTCACCCAATTGGAGGCCAGAATAGGGAAACCCAAACTGCGAGGAAGCATGCTGCCGTCGTGCTGCCATGTCCAAATCTCACACAGCCCCAGCTCATGTCGCCAAACATCGCCAAACCGCACGATCTCGGTCTGGAGAAGGGGCGTGGTGCGTCAAGTACATGATGCAGAAGACTCGCTAAGCATGTCATGGCGCATCATGGCGCGCATGTGCTACTCGTAGCATCGTGCTAGCAGGCGGACAGCGGTGCGTCAATGAAGAGCTATCCCAGCTCGTTCCGACCCTTCCAGGGTCTCGGCTTTCAAGGCTTTCGCTCCACAAACCAAACTTTGTGCTGAGATGCGCTGGGAAACAGCTCGCTGTCGCCACGGCCACGACTGCAGATCGCATGCTTTGCGTTCCGAAGCCCTGTCGTTCTCACGAAACATATCTGTCAAATTGGAAACTGGTGACGACCAGATCCTCCAAATTGAGTTGAAGCGCCCACGTGTCAAAGCCTTCTCGGAGCCCATAAGTGATGTGTGGTTGTCCCGTGACCACTCGACATGACAAGAATCCGCCGTCGGCACGAAAGCCGGGCTAGAAGGGGCCGCCACAAGAGGAGACGATTGCAGAGTATTGCAGAGGGCTGGGAAAGTTCAAACTTCCTGCGCCTTGGAGCGCCTTGGAGCAGCATGCAAATGCATGCAAATGCATGTTTTTTTGTGTTTTCTTTCCAAGAACGTCTGTGTCAGGTTCTTAGTGGTCGGCGAGACCGAGACCTGGCCGTCGAGGCCCCTGGGCCCCCGTGGGCCATCAGTGGCCGAGGTGTGCAGAAATTTTGCTGCGAGGGATGTCCTGGGTCATCTTCGAGCTGCTTTCGAGCTGAAGGCCCCGTATACTGCTAGGTCCTGCTAGGTTGAAGGCTGTTTCTAGGAGGAAGGCTCAAAAGGCTGGGCTGCTAGGTGACGCTGAGGGGCTAGGGTGGCTATGTGTGGCCACAGTGGCTACAGGTTACGGGTAGAGCATGTTAACAACACGAGGGAAGCTCAAAGGGGCTGGACATGCCGGAGCCGCCGAACACTGTCAATCTTGGACAAAACTGAGAGGTTTGGGCAGGTTTGCTTTTTGTGCAGACCTTGCTTATGTATTTTGTGTGCTCCCTACATACTCAAGCCGCCCCTCTAGTTTGCAGCACCGCTTGACATAGTGATCAAGTTCTGTCTTAAATATTCACAACATGTGCGGACGACCAGACCAGATCAGACAAGACCAGGCGACCAACACACACATCATTTCGTTCGTAGCGATGGAGAGTGGATCAGACGCACGCCTAGCAATTGAATTCAGCGCTGAAAGGGGGCTGGCTAATGCGCGGGCAATCCTTGGAGCTTATGGCCAAAGTTATTCCCAAAAACGCATCAGAGTGGAGGTGCAAAAATTTCCCATGGCCACATACCACAAGCGGACAGCTATTCCTCGGAGCCGGGTCCCAAACAAAAGGCCATGCATGCCCGCCACAGGGACCCTCAAACATAACCACAAATAGGTCACGATCACACGAAAACGCTGGCCACTTCGTGGCACGTGAATGTGCGTATTTCCTAGGCAAAAGCAGCCCAAAATAAAAGTTGCTCAAACAAGGCATGAAAGCTTATGCCAAAGTTCCTTGTTCCAGAAACGGCACTGGGTTGTGCAGGAGGCAAGAACGCTGTAAATACCGGTGTTTTGGGCATTTTCACAAAAGACATGAACGCTTGTGACAGCGCTCCTTGCCCAGGAACGTCAAACGTCCTGCGACAGCAGGTCTTCTTCCAGAAACGTCAAGCAGTCAAGCATCCTTTTCGCATTATGTCGTGCAAAGGGCAAGAACGCTGTAAATGC